TCACCCTCCTTCCCCATGATCTCAGCGATGATTTCGAACACCTTTCGATCACCAGCCCTGACTTCCTCCCTGAGCTCCAAACTTAAATATCCAATTGCCTGCTCCACGTGACAGACACAGTGGTGTCTGTCCTTTGCCTCCATATGGCAAAGCAGAATTTTCCATTTACACTCCCACACGGAACCTGTTCTACCACATCTTCCCCTCCAGGGAACGGGGAATATATCCACCCAGGTGCTCAGTCCAAAAGCCAGTGAGTTATTCTTTTTTTCCCCAATCAGACCAAATATAACAGTCTTTAATTACTTTTTTTTTTTTTTTTAAAGACGAGAGAGGGACGCCTGGCTGGCTCAGTCAGGAGAGCATACAACTCTTGATCTCTCGGGGTCGTGAGTTCAAGCCGCACGTTGGGTGTAGAGATTACTTTAAAATAAAATCTTTAAAAGTAAATAAATAAATAAGAAGAGCGAGAAGGAGGAGGGAAGGTGGGCCCACCTCACAGCTAAATGCAAACTTTCCCCCCTGACTCCTAGCAGGGAGACCCCACCACTCCCACCCAGGGCTCCTGTGGTCTTCCCCTAGGACCGTGGGGCTCCTCACCCACATGAGTGGCTCCTGACCCCCATACATGACAGGGTGGGCCCCCTCTCTGCCTCCCAGTCCACGTGGTACCGGCCTGGTCAGTCTGTCTCCTCGCAGACAGAGCCTTCTCTGCTCCCTGCGGGCACTCCTCTCGGCCAGTGGGCCTCCCTCCACTCCCCATGAGACCTGTTCCCCACATCGGAGGAAGGCCCCCTCCGCAGGGTCACAGTCAACCACATGGTGGGCATGGCAGGAGAGAGCTGAGCCGAGCTGGGAAGGCCGAGACTCAAAGCCCCCATCTGGCTGCAAGGACAGCGGAGGGTGGCTGAAATCGACCCCAGGCAGAGGGCCCAGCGGAAGAGGCTTTTGGCAATCCTCCCAGCGCGGCTGGCTCAGGGGGAAGAGCGTGTTTCCCAAACAATCTGGGATTGAAGGAGGCTGAGTAAACACTGGGCCTGGTGAAATGCCCCTCCTGGACTCGAGCCCCACCCTCAGGGTCCGCAAGGCTGACCGAGGACAGGGACACGGATGGCCCAGGCACTGTCCCAGGGAAGTGAGCCGGCTGCGTCACACAGTGCCTGGGCAGATGCGTGCTAGCAGCTTCAGGCCCGGGAGGTGGTCTGTGAGGCAGTTACATACCCCGTGGACAGCGCAGGTGTGTGTGGCACGCAGGCGCACCTGCAGAGGTGTGGAGAGGAGGGGCGCTGGCGTGGGACAACAGGAGTGACAGGTGAGCATGTCACAGGCACACCAGCACCACTGCTGGCCACTTCCTTGCCAAGTACAGATGTTTCAGGGCCACAGTCCCGCCAGCCCAGGGAGGCCCGGGGGGGCCCCATGTCCTCTGCAGGACAGGAAAAGGTCAACTGTGACACCCCCACCCCCAGGCTCTGGGAGGGCAGCCCAGCAGTGTGCTCAGGGCCAGAGAAAAAAGATGGAAAGGGAGAAGGCACCCTGTGGCTCCAGCTGTGTCCCCCGGGTTCTCCAGGTTTCCCGGAACCCCACACCCTCCCTGGGCTCTGTCTCCAGGAACCAGGCACCTGGTGAGTGCCCACTGCCTCCGGATGGGCCTGCTACCCCAGGAGACACTGTCACACAGAATCCCTCCCCGGATGGCTCTGGATCAGCTTCCCCACCTCCACCCGGGCCACACCGGCCCCTCCCGTCTCTGAGCCCCGCACCTCGGCCAGAGCGTGTACCCCTCTCCCAGCCAGGGACCCCCCCACGCCCACTCAGGGTGCGCAGAGCCCCGACACCCACACACCATGCAGGGCCAGGTCCTCCAGAGCGGCCCTGGCTGAAAGGTCACCAGCAAACTCCTGGACCTGCCCTCAGATCCCAACCCACGGCCCTGCTGGAGACCCTGCAGGCGGAGCCTCCTCCTACCCCCACAGCTGCCGCAGCCCTCACCCCTCCCGGGGAGCATCTGCTAACTAGAGGCGAGATGGGGGTTGAGGTGGGAGAAGCTGGTGGTGAGCAAAGCCTCATGCGTCACTGCTTCTCCCCATCAGCACCACAGACTGGCCCACTGACCCCAAGTGATTCCTTGGCCCACGTTGCTCTCCAGATTTCTGCTTCTGTGGGTTTCCATGCCCTGCCCCTCCCAGGTCCCATGAACACTGCCCCAACTGCCCACCCCTTCTAGCCCCACCAGAGCAAGCCCACAGAAGGCACTCAAGTTCATCTGCAGCTCAGCACGCTCTCATCTTTGTTTCCTGGCCAGAGAGCAGCAGGAAACACTGACCAGGAGGGGTCAACACCATCCCCTGCTCCCTCAGGACCATGAAGGCACCCCAAGCCCACGACCCACCCCCAGAACCCTCCACGAGCCCACCATCGCAGACACACACACACCCCCCCCCCCGGGAGCCTATAGTCAAATACAGGATTTGGGCCTTTTCTGTTTGTGGGCTGGCCTCCACAGGGTCTCTGAGGCTGAGAGCCCTCCAAATCACCTGGCTCTGGGGCACCCCACTTTGTAGGAACAGGTGGGGAAAGGACACCAGGTTCTCTTGGCCTCATTCAATTAATTCAACCGCCCTCCCTTTCTCTCTCCCCCTCTTGCTCATTGTCTCTCAATATCCTTCTCAATCTCGCTCCCCGCCATTCTCTCAATCTGTCATACAATGTCTCTCTCTCTCTCACCATCTCTCCTGATCAATCTCTCATGCTCTCTCTCAAACATGCACTCGCTCACACACAATCTTTCTCGGTATCTCAGGGATTCTCTCTCTCTCTCTCACACACACACACTCACAGCAGGGACCCGGCACTCAAAGGTCTGTGCATCTAGGCAGGCACCCCAGCACAGAGGCACCCCTGGGAGTGTACCGCCTGGGACACACCTGCACACACCCGATGTGTCTGTGTAAACCCCTATTCTTGGGACTTTACATCCCACCTCTGGCTCCTCCATCGGGCAACTAAGGCTGCACTCAGACTTGCAAACCAATGCGGTAGTGGGGTGCTGAACTGAGACCCCAAAGGCCAGGGCAGCGTGGAGACAAGAGTGAACGGCCCAGACAGACCCCGGCCTGGAGCGCACACCGTCGAGTGAGGAGACAGACATCAGTATGACACACCAAAGGACAGCAGTGATCAAAGGCAGTTAGTGCCACCAGGTGCCAACATCCAGGAAGATATCCTGAGGGCAGGTGGCTTTGGCACCCAGGGCTGGAGGGTCATGGGCAATCTACCTGGCTCAGAGTCTGGCTCTCACACCGCTCCCTCAGCCTCAACAACCATCAGGTCAGCATAACTCCTGAAAACGGACTGGAAGATGCTGCTTTGGGAAAATGAGCTTGGAGAGCAGGGTCCCCAGATTCCGGGTTTTTGGTGCCGTGTGATACCTGGAAGCCTGATGTATTCCTGTGGCTGAGAGCTCAACGATTTAACCAGGAAGGAAAGCGGATCCAGGCAGAGCCAACAGCGTGTGCGAAGGCTCTGCGGTAAGGGGCAGTGGCGGTCACCAGTCCTGACTGACGCGACACAGAGCCCTGGAGCCCAGAGAAAAAGAGCCAAGTGTGGCCCAAGACGAGGCCACTGCCCCCCAGGGCCACGCATTCCCTTGCCCCTGACTTTCAACAAAGCATCACCCAGGAACTCGGAGTGGGCTCCACAACGTGATGACTCCCCCCGGCTGGATTAGGAAGGCGCAGTAACCAGGCTGGAGCAGGTGTGGGTGGTGACCTCCAGGGCCGGGAGGTCAGGGGCCACCTCCACAGCACACACAAAGGCAGAGAAAAGAGAAGGGTTGAGTTTGCAGCAAGGAGAAACCAAGGGCAAAGCAGCTTTGACGTGAGAAGCAAAAAGAGATGACATCCAGAAGAAAGCTTTGCAGTAACTGGCTAGAAAGCAAAACCACCCAGCTCAGGAGTAAGAGAAAGCCAGAAACAGCCTCCCGTTCCTGAAATGTACTCTCTCTTGCCCCGTTGCGATTACCACCTCCGAGAAGCCACCTGATCTTATCGAAGTCCTCTTCTCAGAAAACACACAATTGGGGTGCCTGGGTGGCTCAGTTGGTTAAGTGACTGCCTTTGGCTCAGGTCATGATCTCAGGACCCTGGGATCGAGCCCCGCATCGGGCTCTCTGCTCGGCAGGAAGCCTGCTTCTCCCTTTCCCACTCTCCCTGCTTGTGTTCCCTCTCTTGCTGTCTCTCTGTGTCAAATAAGTAAAATCTTTAAAAAAAAAAAAAAAAAGAAAGGAAGGAAGAAAACACACACTTCCCCCATCCCAGGACAACCTCTGCATTTAAATAGATACTTGGTGAACACAAAACTACCTGTGTACTTGCTCCCCTCAGTCCACCAGGGGAGCCCCCCAGCTCCAGGCCTCAGCCCAGCTGGCCCCCAATGGCTGCCACTTCCTCTCCGATGAATCCCAAAAGGCAATCCGAGGCAATCCTCTGTTCTGATTCCTACAGCCTTGCCTCCCCGGCTGTGATCCTACAAGCAAAGAGACCACATCTAACAGGGGAGGGCAAGAGCAGTGGCCAGGAGCAGCTCACTGGTGACTCAGGCACAAATGGACTTAAGTCAAAATATCCCACTGATGGGTTATCATGATTAGGGGTTTCTTGCCGCAGGGGCCACCCACGGGTACAAATCCAACATAAGCCATCGCTGAGACGTCCCAGCTTCCCAATGCTGATGTGCACTGGTGTGGGACAACAGGAAAGAAAATTAATCTGCGTTTCCCCAAACCACATTTCATTAGGTCACTGCTCTTCAGACACGGACACAAAACCCCACATTATTCCGAAGTCTGAAAAGCAAACACATATTTTGAGATTTTACAGGGATTTATACAAAAATAGTTAAAATACAACGTTTTTACTGCCTGAAAACTAACTATATGATCTCCCAATAGGACATTTGTGAGTTCCGTGTAATTTGTCTAAGAAATAACAACCGTGGGCCAAGTTTTTAGAAGAAAACTATATTCTCTTAAAGAAAATGAAAATATTCTCAAAGGACAAACTTAATTTAAGTCAAATCATACGCTTTTGTCGTGGAGCCTGATACACAGAGCGTTCCTGCAACGGGTGTTCGCCCTGCCACGCGGACAGGGCGCCCCCTCGTGGTCTCTCTTGACCGAGAGCCCTGTGGCTGGAATTTGCGTGAGAAGGTTCTTTTCCCAAGGCTGAAGGATGGCGAGCGGAGGAGGCCGGAGGGAGGGGTGGTCCCCAAGCCAGGAGCCAGGGATGGGGAGACCCGGGCGGGATGGTGGCTGAAAACACCCATCAGAATCCCGGTGACCAAATCCCACTGTGGCCAAAGGCAGGGCTCCTTGGCAGGCCCCCGCTCCCTAAGGGTGTCATTCTTCACTCCCTCCTGTGACCCCACCCGCACAGGACACCCTTCCCACCCACCAAAGGCTCTATGAGACACGCAAACACGCGTGCCCTCCGCCAACCCCCGCCTGCCAGACCACCCCCGCCCCCCCAGGAGAGGTCTGAGACGGGGCCCCTTCTGAACCGGGAAACGGGGGGCCAGTGGGAGGAAGGGGGAAGGAAGCCCTGCACCCCGTGCCCCTGCACGCGGTCTGGGAGCCGGCCCGAGGCCGCGGGGCGTAGCGGCCCGGGAACGGAAGGCCGGCGTGGGGCGGGGAGGCGGGGGGGGGCCAGGCAGGGCCGGGAAGGAAGGAAGCGGCGGGAGGAGGCACAGACGGTGAATAAATAGAAGCAGCTCCGCCCCGGGGCCGGCCCCTTGGACGACAGCTCGGTGGCATGTGGGGGGTGGGGGAGGGAAGCGGGGCAGCCGCGGCCCCGGGACACGGAGCTGCGACACTGACCTGGTCACCCATCCCGCCCGGGCACGCTCTCTCACACACGCACGCACGCACACGCACACGCACGCACACGCACGCGCGGCCCCAGCGGGGCTCCCCTTCGGCGCTCAGAGCTCCGTGACGTGCACGGCAGGTGAGGGAAGGGGGCCGGGCCGGAGGCGCCGCAGGTGGCAGCGGCGGCACAGCAGGTGGCCCTCCAGGGGGTAGCAACGGCGTCCGTCCTCCCCGCTCAGCTGCAGCCCGCAGTCCTAGGGAAGAACACAGCCCCAACCCCACAGTCAGCGAGGGGGGCACAGGAGAGTAATGGGGTGTGGCGGATCTCTGCCCCGCCCCGCGCAACTTCCGAAGGACTTTGGCTTTGGGGGCGGGGGATCTGGAGCCCAGAGTCGGCCACAGCCAACCGGAGCTGCCCCTTAGACTCCCAAATAGCCGGACACCAGCCTGGAATCTGCTGGAATCTGCAGGAGGGCTGGGCAGTCCACGGGGGCATCAGCCCAGAAATGTGATGGCTTTTAACAACAACCGATTAGGGCGCCGGAGTGGCTCGGTCAGTTGAGCCTCCGACTCTTGATTTTGGCTGAGGTCATGATCTCAGGGTGGTGAGATGGAGCCCCGCGTGGGGCTCCCGCTCAGCGGGGAGTCTGCCTGTCCCTCTTCCTCTGCTCCTCCCCCTGCTCACTCTTTCTCTTTGCAATAAATAAAATCTCAACAAACAACAAACAACAGGTTACGTCTCCCCGGGGAGTGCAGATAACTAGAAAAGAGAAGCGGACCCACAGCTGAGCCGCAGAGGCTCCCACATGAAGCGGAAAGTAGCGGAAGACCTGAGCCAGAGGGATTTGAGGGGAAAATAAAAATTAGGCAAACCAAAAATGGATGGTCCTAAAGAAACAGTGAAGAGAGTCACGGAGGGAGGGTCAGCGTGCAGAAAGCCACCGAGAGGTCAGGACAGTGACAACTGAGAAGTGTCTCCTGGATCCTACCACACAAGGGTCACTGGTGACTGGGGGAGGCGGGTAGGTGAGATACCTGACCCCAGCACCTTAAGAGATGGAGGAGAAAAATCGGGAGAGATCAGTAAACAAGGAGTTGTGTTTTCTGTCCTGTACCTTACCGTTTTCCCACTGCAGTATACTTTATAGGCTAATTGTCTCTGTGTTAACAAGTGGTGAGATTCTTACTGGACCTCAGTAAATGACTGGCAAGAAGCGGGAAGGGCAGCATGGAGGGTGCACTGTCAGGACTGGGGCAAGGCCAACTGCCCAGCTTCTTTCTTCCTCTGCGCCCCAGCCCAAGGAGACCCCTTTGGTCACACTCTCACCACATCCAGAGCTAACCTGCTTTGACATTTGTTCCCCGAGGCCCTGAGACCAACACCTGCCCCGCTCCACACAAGTCACGTTCCAGGAATGTCCCTGTCCTGCCACCGGACCCTGACCGGGCCCCACCACTAACCACCACGCTCCAGAGAGGGGCCAAGCAAAAGGGCCTGGAGACCCTCACTCCTGGCCAAGGGTCTCCCTGGGGACAGCAGCCCCGAGGCTCTGGCTGTGCACCACCTGAAGCTCACCTGTTCGTTGGCTCTCAGCATCAACCTTCCCTGTGCTTAGCGGTCGTCCCCAGGAAGCAGACAGGATGCTCTGTTACGTCAGAGGGGACACTGTGGCCCTTCTGTAGGCCATGCTGGCTTCTGTTCCTCCTTCCCTGGTCCCCCAGCAGGATCCCAGTTCCCACTGGGCCACCTGCCCCACCTGAGGCCACCTGGTTCCAAACAGACCCTTGACTGCTACTGAAGATTTCTCATGGACACCGCTTTTCACTGGGACCCTAAACCCAACGTGCTTTTCTCAGTTTCTCTCCTACCTCCGTTCACTCATTCTCGGCCTCCCCGTATGGTTGCTTTGCCTCCATGCACCCCCTAAACATTGGTGTTCCTTGGGCTATCCTGAGCCCCCACTCCTGCCCCCACAGCTCTCTCTGGAAGACTTCATTCACTTCCCTGGCTTCACCTACATGTTCATGATGAGACATGACAGTAACAAGGACTGAATCTCCCATCCTACCTTTAACAATGAAAAACCAGGTACAAGATATGAAACACTGATTCTCAGACCCCGGACAACAGACAAGGCAGGTCAGTGATCTCTGAGAGAAGGGAGATTCGTGAGGTGAGCCCTACAACTGCCCCAACTTACTACCTGAAGAGACTGTCCAGGCTGCCCAAAGAGGGCCCACTGTTCTCCCTGCATTGAGAATCTGGGGAGGCCAAGGCAATGAGAAACCACAGGGCAGAGTATCAGAGAGGAGAGAGTTATGTGTGTCCACGACTCCCAAATTCCTACACTTGCAGCCAGTGTCTTTGAATTCCAGCACGTCTAGCTGCCCCAAGGACAGAGTCTTTGAGACAGCATGTCTAGCTGCCCCAAGGACATCTCCACCCAGATGTCCCCAGTGTCCCAAATTAGAGCCTCTCTCCCTTCCACCTCTCGCCCTCACTCTCTTCTGGAGCCCTAATGGACAACTCCTAACCCCCAAACTGCCCCGCCAGTCATGGCCCAAGTCCAGTCCCTTTTAACTACCTGACCATCACACAACTCAGTGTTCTACCCTGAACCCAAGACCACAACCTTGACTCCACCGGCCTCCTCAGGGAACCCCAGCCCCACGCCCTCTTCCTCTATTCATTCTCTGCATGGCAAAGAGCACCCTTTCCAAAAATGGTCATGCCATCGTGTCACCCTTCTCGATCATTCTCCACCATCCTCAGGATAAGTCCACACGCCTCAGCTGGTATAGCCTTATGTGCCCAGCTCCTGCCAACTTCTCGTGACTCAAAACAACACAGTCACCTTCGCACCTAAGCACATTCTGCTTCCACTGCCTAGAACTGCCTTTGTTACGGTCCCCTTGGGTAACTCATTCATTTTGCAAATCTTAGCTCGGGTGTCACTTTCTCCAGAAAGCCTTCCCTGATTCTCCAAGGCCTCCTATGTACCCTGACAAGTCACCTTGATAGCAATGGTGACCCTATGCGGATACTGCGCGAGCACTCATCGCTGCCATAAGAGGGGGTACTCCTTATTTTTATTCTCTGTACACCCCCAGCACCCCACACACTGTAAATCCTCAATAAATAGGTGACTGAATGGGAAATAGGGGCTGAGAACATATCTTGCGGAGAAGGGAGAGGGCTCCCTGGGGAGGGCGGGGCGAATGGGGCAGAATCATAAAGGAGGAGGTGGGCCCACAGAACACAGAGAAAAGGAGCTCCAGGTGGAGGGGGGCTGCCCCAGCCATCAGCATTCCCGGGGGCCCCAGGCTCACCTCACAGTGGTAACACTCCACGTGGTAGTCTCTGTCCATGGACACCACACGGATGGTGGTCTCACAGCCCTGGAGGATGAGATGGGGTTTGCACACAATCAGCACACTGGGGTTTGAGGCGCACACACCTACACAACACGGTCTTGGCACAGCAGACGTGCATTCACGCCCATCTTTGCTGCTTCCATGGGCGGGACACATGCCCGGACATCCTCCCGCAGCTACGCCTCACGACAGCACGCACACGCATCCGCGAGAGCGGTCACGTGGGTGTCAGTGTGTGTACACACGTTCTGTTCCGTTCTTTGCAGTCAGGAAAGACCATGGCCAGGCCTGCTTCCCCAGGGTACATAGGAGGCCTTGGAGAATCAGGGAAGGCTTTCTGAAGAAAGTGACACCCGAGCTAAGATTTGCAAAATGAATGAGTTACCCAAGGAGGCCGTAACAAAGGCATTTCTAGGCAGTGGAAGCAGAATGTGCTTAGATGCGAAGGTGACTGTGTTGTTTTGAGTCACGAGAAGTTGGCAGGAGCTGGGGACATAAGGCTATACCAGCTGAGGCGTGTGGACTTATCCTGAGGCCTTATCCGATGCCGAGAGCCGCCCCACCCGAGGATGTCTCCTGCCCGGACTGCATCCTTCCCTCGCCTGCTCCCCCCACCACCTCACCCTGCACTGCTGACAGACCCTGGGAGTGATCCTTCTGTCCATGGGCAATGAAGCTGAGGGCCACCATTTCTAACTCATGCAGGGACTTGTGGGCACTTATGGGCCTGAGGGATATGGGACAGGAGCATCTGCTCATCCCTCCCAAGACCTGGGGCCAACCTGAGCAGAAGCAGGCCGAGGCCGGGCTGGGCCAGGCACCTGATCATCTCCCAGTGAGTGGTTCCTACCTGTGCAGGGAGGATAGGACGGGCACAGGAGGCACATTTTGGTGCAAAAACCCTGGAGGAATAAAGGAAACCAGAAGTGACCAGCTGAGTGGCGAGAGGCCAAGGGCGGTGAGGCAAACCCACCCACAGTAGCCCCTTGACATGGCCCAAGCATCAGGACCCCTTTCCTTGTGTGGACACACTGGGCTGGGCGCCGCCTCTGTGGTGCCTTCTTGGCCTTTTATCTGGCTCCCCAATTCACATCCACCCCATCACCTCCTCCAGGATGGCTTCAGGTTCTCCCTCCCCTCTCCCTCACACTCCCTGTGAGTTCCCTATCCCCTAATGTCCAGGTTTGGGCCTCCCCTCGCTGAGACCCCTGCAAAGCCTGGCTGCACACGGAGTTCCAGGGATCTGTGCAGGGCACCCACCCCATGCAAGGCAGTAGCACGGGACCAGAGCTCAGAGGGCCAGGCCTGGAGCCCCAGCAGGGGAGAAAGGATTGGCTGCTCATCACAGCGATAACAGACAGGCAGGGAAAGGATGGCTGCAGAGACCCCAAGCCCCCACCCCAGGCGGAAGAGGCCTAGCCTGCCACTGGGAGCAGAGAGGCAGATGTGGGTGGGGCAGCCAGGCGAGTCCTCCCGCCCCACTAGGAGGGGGAACATGCAGGCAAAGGCAAGGAGAGGAAAGAGACGGCTGGTGGCTGAATCATGCAAGAGAGGGCTCAAGGCAGAGATCCATGCCTTGCCCCCACACCAGGAGAGGCTGGAAGTGGCAAGGCCAAGAATGGAGAGAAGACAGACAGGCCAGTTGGAAAACTGCTTCCGGGGGAGGCAGGAGACACGGCAGGAGTCCCACCTGCCCCTCCCCGCCCCCACGCTGGCTACTCACGTGTGATAGTCTCTGACGCAGTAGATGTTGTTCTCCACGTCCACGGTGAAGGGCACCCCGTCCAGGCACTCGTTGCACACTGAGCACCGGAAACAGCCTGGGTGGTAGGACTTCCCAAGGGCCTGCAGGATCTGGGGGTGGGAGGCACTGAAGGGTCAGTGCAGATGGAAGGCTCAGCACAGCCCCCGGAAGAGGCTCTGGTTCTGAGCCCTTGGCAGGTCTGCAACAGGTGAAAGGGTGGGTCCTAAGACCACCCGTGGCAGAGGGGCTCCAGGAGTCTGGGGGAGGTTCTCACCATCTCCATGATGAGGTGTCCACACACGCTACACTTGTCAGCTGTTTGCTGGAACCCGGAGTACTGAGAGGGGACAGAGGATCCGGAAGGTCATGTGACAAAGGGACCCTGGCTGCCCAGCTGGCACCTGCCTCCTGGCCCCAGGCCTCCATGTGAAGCAGGAGGGTTGCCTCCCCTGCTCCCACCTATGGCGCCGGCCGGGCACCCAGCTCTGACTCACCAGGAAGTCCTCCTGGCAGTAGACTTTCTCACCCACGTTGTAGAACGCCTTCCCTCGAAGTCGTCTGCCTGCAAGGACGAGGATCGAGAAGGGGGTCCGTTGGCCACTGGAACCCGGGGATGGGGCCCCTGTTTCCATTTCTCAGGACTTGCCTCCAACAGATGAGAAGCAGATCATGGGCAAATTTTAACATTTCCCTTTAATATTAGGTTATTACTGTGCTAATAATAATTTTTTTTTTTTAATTAAACAGAACACGGGGCGCCTGGGTGGCTCAGTCGGTCAAGCATCTGCCTTCAGCTCAGGTCATGATCCCGGGTCCTGGGATCGAGCCCCGCATCGGGATCCCTGCTCAGCGGGGAGCCTGCTTCTCCCGCTCCCTCTTACCCCTACTCATGCTTACTTTCTCTAGTGCTCTCTCTCTCAAGTAAATAAATAAAATCTTAAAAAAAAAAACC